CCATTCTTTGGCTCAATGGGCTCCTCGTCATAATGCCCACCGAAGCGTATAAATATACACCTTCCGAATGGGCCGAGCTTTGCATATTCCTCGGGCTTGATGAATTCATGCTGGAATTGACAGGACTTCTTGTCTGGGCAACCAGAATGCGAGCTGAACTTGAAACACCTGTGCTCTTTGGTACCTGCTCCCGCGTTGACTACCTGGTTTATCTCCTTAATGCCCGCGTCATGTTGCTCTTTGGACAATTTGCCACACGGAAAAGCAGACTCCTTTGATTTCTTAACTGGCTTGTCACCTGGCTTGCTACCTGGGTTATCGCCCCCCGACGTTCCAGCGCCACCCGACGTTCCAGCGCCACCCAACTCTGCCCCGTGTTTTTGCTGCTTAGGGTTGGACTCATCGGCCAACTTGAAAATCTGCTCATCCATAACCTTCTCCCGGATGTCTATCTGCCTACACAAATAGGATGTTATATCATGCTGCATCCCATGCAAGTCCCTCGGTTCTATTGGTACTGCAATTTTGCGATTCCAAGGCACCTCATAGAGTGCGAAATGGAAGGTTGTCGGCATGGCGTAATTTTTACCGGCGGTGCCGGTTGGAATGGTCAGCAGTCTCTCTAAGTCAGTTGTAGTCACAATTTTGCAGCCACTTGCAGTGTTGAGGTCCTGCACAATTTCTCGAAGAAGTGTGTCAAGCTCCGCCCTGTATTTGCTCCATGCCCCCTCATATGTTCTTTTCACCCACCACAAGGGGAATTTTTCACGAAAATTCTCATGCAGGTGCACAAGGAAATTAAAGAATTGTAACCTTTCCGCTCGATGCTCGACGCCGAATAACGCGCAAAAGAACTCCAAAGACCACTTTACCTTTGTGGAGTAATTTGCCAAATCCATGGTACATGTCTTCAACTTCTCCTTGGGCTCCTCGAACTCGGTTATGTTTCTTGATGCAGAAAACTCCGNCTGCTCCCTTACTGACGCAAGCCTAAAGAAAGATCCCGGCG